GGGGGGCGGGGGGGGGGGGGGGGGGGCGGGTGGGGGGGGGGGGGGTGTCTGTCTGGTGGCGGGGGGCTCGCGCTCGCTCCCTGCCTCCCTCGAAGACGGGCGCGGGAGGAGGCGAAGAGGAGGCCCCGCCTGTTGCGCCGCCGCCGCCGCGAAAGCCTTCCCAGTAGGTAAAGAGGGAATCCCTTCAGCTCTCTCGCAACCAGCAACCCGCCCCCGGCCGTCCCTGCGCCCAAATTGCCAGGGTCGAAGACGACAGGAAGGGGAAAGGGAAGGAAATGGGGAGGAGGGATTAAGGCGACGAATAAGTGCAGGAGAAAATGCTTGGAACCAGGCGGGGGGAGGTTAGCATAGTCCCGTGAGCCTGTTGCAGCACAAGCCACAAAGAGGCTCGCGGTCCCTCACAAAGCCTTCACAGATTTTGTCTGCCGCCGGCTTTGGCGGAGTGCGGCCCATTTCGTGCCTTTGAAGACGGGGGAATCCGGAGGAACGTTTGTGCCGAACGAAGCGGGAGTTTAGGTGCCACATGAGAACCGACCTGATCGTATAGCAGCTATAACTTTCTCAGGCGGAGCCAGAGTCAAGATCGGAGATACTGTACTTTTTTCTCACCCGCGTTATTAAAATATCACAGGAAGATGGGGAGCTTGCGAGATTGTTTCTAAATCTGACCTTCAACTAGCTTTGCGAGCAGAAGAGTCCGAAGTCACCTTGGCCAGATTTTGGTAAACATAGCCCTGTTTTTCCTAGCCCAGTCTTTGCGATGCCCAGGCTGAAGAAGCCTCCTGGATTATTAAAAAGCTTGCCTTTTTGATCGTAGCCTTTCAACTCCACATTTCTGTTCCAAAATAATAGGAGGGGGTGCTGATAAGTATTGAGCCTTTCCCAGAAAAAATTGAGCTAGGAAGCTGTAACAACCACACAATTCTACATATTCTCCAAGGAGGTCAATGCACTTGCAACATCTGTCCTGCAGCTTCTTTGTTGTTGTTGTTATTGTTTAGTCATGTCCCACTCGTCGTGACCCCATGGACCAGAGCACTCCAGGCCCTCCTGTCTTCCACTGCCTCCCGTAGTCGGGTCAAATTCATGTTGGTCACTTCGATGACACTGTCCAACCATCTCATCCTCTGTCGTGCCCTGCTCCTCTTGCTGTCACACTTTCCTAACATCAAGGTCTTTTCCAAGGAGTCTTCTCTTCTCATGAGATGGCCAAAGTACTGGAGCCTCAGCTTCAGGATCTGTCCTTCCAGTGAGCACTCAGGGTTGATTTCCTTTAGAATGGATAGGTTTGATCTCCTTGCAGTCCAGGGGACTCTCAAGAGCCTCCTCCAGCACCACAATTCAAAAGCATCAATTTTTCAGCAGTCAGCTTTCTTTATGGCCAGCTCTCACTTCCATACATCACTACAGGAAAAACCATACAAAGCTTTGACTATACGTACTTTTCTCAGCAAGGTGATGTCACTGCTTTTTAAGATGTTGTCGACGTTTGTCATCACTTTCCTCCCAACAAGCAGGCATCTAATTATTCTGACTGTTGGTCTAACCACTTATTTGCAGCATTAGTTGCCTCCAGAACACTCCCAAATCGTTGTCCCTTTAGGTGATTTTTGAGTTTGGGGAACAAATAATAGTCAGAAGGAGCCAGGTCAGGAGAATAGGGTGGATGGGGCATCACTTGAAAGCCTAAGGACATCAGTTTTTGCCATTGTTTCACCTGCAGTGTGTGAAGAGCCGTTGTCATGCAACAGAATGACACCTTTGGAGAGCTTTCCTCAATGTTTTTCCTTGATTTTTTGCCTCAACTTCGTCAATAAAGCACAGTAATATTTTGCATTGATGGTTGAACCCTGTTGGAGGTAGTCCACCAGCAGAACTCCCTTCTTATCCC